TGTGATGTAAATAAGTATTTCACATGGAGGTAAGGATCAGATCCGAATATCGTGATTCTTTTGACCTATCAATGTTCTTAAGATCCATCATCTGTATATTACAAAAGGAACAACAGTTTATTCAAGGTTTAGAAGAGCTTCTTAACATGTTGTTTTCTGGAGACACGGATCCGGCGAGAATCAGAACGGTATGGATCGCGTAAAATTTTGATTACGCGAAAATTTTTGAAAAACGCTTCGCGATCACATTTGCTAAACCTTTCTCGTCAAATTCCTCATAAGGCAACGTCAGCTCTAAATAGCAATTATTATAGCTCACCGGCGTGCGTACCTGCACTTGTGCATATATTATCGCATTCATCTATCTGGCAGGTTGAAACAATTCCTATTTGCTTTTACAATCTTACACAGTTGTGACCTTTCTCAGCAATAACTTTGAAATTATCGATTCGTTTGTAGGCAAGGCAACTTGCCGCGGTCGAATTAAAAAAAAAAAAAAAAAAAAAAAAAAAATTGGATCTTTAAATGTCAATGACGAATTTGGAACGATCATCGTCAAATTTGTCCTACATCATGTGATATACTTGATATACTTGATATACTGCGAATTTGAAGGTTTCTTCGATTCTGCTACGGCTACAATGGTTGAAAAAAAAAAGAATACCATCAATCCCCTGTCGAAAAAACATTCCGATAATCAGCACAATGAAGTAAATCGTCGCATCCACCCACATCATCTAGTACAATGGTTTTCACACTTTACTAAATATAAGCAAATTATGGTTTTTAAAGGAAAGATGGCACTCACCAAAAAAGGAGTAAAATAAATAATTTATTTAACACTAATATTGCCATATTTCCCAAAACTCGATTGACGCGAACAAATCTTTACGCTAACAATTTTTTCGGCAGTGAACAGAAAATCATTACTTTTGATCTTTATACCTCCCAAATAAGGAATTTTGGCTTAGATGAGCGAGCGAGAATACAGTAAATCTAGATTTTTTGAAATAAATGTAATTTATGTTTTCTTACCGCAATTATATTACCTATGCGATGACATGACTCGGTTATAAGGTTGTGATTTACGCGTCTAAATTGACAGGTCACCATGACTTGTAAAAGTATGTACAGTATGAATAAGGTGCACGTACGTAACGGCATTGACCTGGAGGCTCACAGCTACAAGTTAATTTGAAGCTAGGCCATATCTGGTTGAGGTAAATTAGTTGACAAGGCTAATGATAATGGAAGGATTAGTCAATTGTTCTTCATGTATTATTTGCCTAACCATTTAGGCGACCTCTCATTCCTTGCACCACTTATCTTTTCGTAAATTTTCGGATCACACAAGTCTTTTCCACATGCAAAGGGCACCTGACTCTGGTAAAATTTGACGAAAGATTGAGGTTATCCTTTTAAGGAAAAATTTTTCCGGAAGAAATATTGTTATAACTAACAGGATTTATTTTTAAGCTGATGTCCGAAGTGTGTGCTGTACTGTACACGTACACGTTTATTCTATTGTCTTTATGCATGATCGTTACGCACTTACGTAGGTAACTTGATTTAGGCAGGAAAATCCAACTTTTGGTCAGTATCGACAAGGACATCGAGAAATCAAGTCACCTCAATCCACCTTTTAATTATGCACGGTGCGCCACCATTCCTCTTTTTCGACTGTTAATGAATCTTGTCGCCTCTTTCGGCTTGTTTATAAATTTCGAATGTTGCCCTCGAGTTTCGTGTAAAATCAATTTTTCGCCTTTCATAATACACCCCCAAAAGCAGTCATGACCGAGACAAACGATGCGTCAATTATGTGTCATCCATCTTACACCCAAATTGCCGAGTTGTTCATAAAGGAACTACGAAAACAGTCTGCGGAGATTGAACTACTCAATCGGCGGATCGACCAATTGGAAAAACAAAATGCGATCGTGAAACCGCCAGACGTTGAAATCGATCTGGCAAAAGAACGAACCGAGGAATTTGAAACGGATATCTCATTGAAGCATGAAGAACACGAAACGCGGAAACAAACCATGAGAATAGACCAAGAAAACCAAGAATTAAGAGCACAAATATGCCAAGTATCTGAGGCGCACCCTTGCGTTCAACACATCAACGAATTCAAGACCGAATTCACCAAATTAAACAAAGATAATCAAAGATTTAAACAACAAATATTTAAAGTGTCGAGTGCCATCGCTCAATTGCAACCTTTCCTGACAGAGATGATTAACGCAAAGAAAGAATTCCAAGAAGTCCGAAAGGAATTTCAACTACTGATGCCAATGGTTGACGAGCTGGGCGACGTAAACGAAAAGATACAATCAATGTTAAAAATAATAGGATATCTTACAGAATACATGGTCATAAATGAAAAAAGCAAGGGAACAAATAATTCGATTGTAGTCCCCTTCAAAACTGGGTAGATAGTGATCCTAAAACACAAGAATACAGGCATTCGATATTGTTTCAAATTTTTAAATTATTGTACTGTATGTTAAATTTAAATCCGATTCTACTCCCGAAGCACCTGAACCTTTAATAACACACCAGGCACAAGAGGAGCAGCAATCAAGCAGCGAGGTAAATGACACTTTCTCGAATTTGCTGTACAATCATAATTGATTAGTGGTTGACGCTCATCATGTATCTTTGAACATCACATATTCAAATTGTATATTCGTTCTGTGCGCATTCATAAATAGAATCATGAAGATTATATACTGTTGCATATGCTTTGTTGAAGTTTTCAGTCTTGTATATGCTTTGTTGAAGTTTTCAGTCTTGTTTGTATTCGTTTTCATTTTCCGCAATTATGGACTAGAACATAAAGTTCTGTGTTCACGTCTACTCTCGCATCAGTCAAGTCGCATCGTTGTAAAAACTATCGAGAACTTACTGTATATGTTGCAATCACATAATAATCCTGTTAATTGGTATACTGTATGCGTGAGGACGACGAATTTTTGATAATGAATGTTTAATTCACCTTGCCTTATTGAGAACTTTCATTGACTAAGCCAAATGTAAATGTCAAGATCGGCCTGGTGATTATGATGGTGATACATTGTGCGGAACAAGCTACAGTACATTTAGTTACATTTACCGAATTACCCCGCGACCGTACTACAGTACATTATCGAACATTCGGATTCTTCGAATACAAAAAAAATCGAGTGAACTTCATCATCATCTCATCATTGGTAAGGATTTACATGATGACCAGCTGATCACACGACACGACGTAATTATATTTGGTGAGTGGCATACGACATTTTCGTACGTTGCGATTTCAGTGATGCGTATATTCGAAGGCGTCCAGAAAGGTCCCACGAGGGAAAGTTATAGGCACTATAGTGAAAAAATCTATTTCTCATATCTGCAAAATCACAATCAATTTCAGAATGGATATTTGGGCCTGCAACCTTCGAGAGTTGTTGGCTCCTTTCACCTACGCTATCCTCACGACCACCCTTTAAAAGCCGAAAGAATTGATTTGTACTTTAAGGGAAAATCCAGTGTACGTTGGAGAAACGGGGACAATGAGATTACGTCTCATAAGAAATTTTGTAAACTCTCAAAAACCGTTTGGTCTTCTTGTGTTCCGGGAACTTATGAAAATTTGGTTTCACTGGATATACCTTTTGAATTTAACCTGCCTGATCATATTCCAGCATCGGTTCTCACCTTAACGCCATTCGACAGTGGAGATATCACCTATAGCATAAAGGCCAAGGTACGCAGGAGTTCAAATTATTTGCATTTCCAGGGTCACACGAAAATAATTGAATGTTGGCTAGACATCAATCGATGGACGCTACCACCCACGCCTGATTATTCTCCAAAACCATTGTGTTATGAAACTTCAACCTTTAAATGCCTCGTATCGCTAGATCAATCGAAATTCGGAACTACCGATGTTATTCATGTTCCCATAAAACTAACCCTGATTGACATGAGAGCATTCGTGAAAAGGATTGTGGTCATATTAAAAGAATACAATAGACTGAAAGCGAAATTTCAAAGAAAGCTCATTAAAGGACGTGTGATTGTAGATGCTGTTGAAGGTGATAAAGTGCTATCCTTGAACGATGATAATGATTTCATGGTGACGATGAAGTTAGATTTATCACAAAAAAAGATACATTGTACGTGTGAAACTGATTTAATTGACATCTGGTATAAGATTAAGGTTAAGGTTTACATGGGAAATGCTGGAGTTAGTTGCAAGACCTTGGAGAAGGATGTGGAGATTTACGATGTTTTAAATGATGTGGCATTGATGGAAAACGCTGACGTTGACACGAGTTGGATTACCGAGCCATCCGATGAGATTGAAATCGCGACTTAAATTTATCAGCATCGTCACTTTCTTTTACATTCATTCTGTTGCGCCTGCACGAACAGAAATATGCACTCTCCTTTTTAACATTTAATACGCCGCCTCATCCCACCGAGATTTTCATGACGCGTACAGCACGAAAAGGAATTGCGAAGCGTGCATGTAACAATGTCGACGTTCAACGATGCGTACCAAATTCTTTACTTTTTCGGCATCCCAACATCATAGAACCTTTCCCATTTAATTATATTTTCTTTGTAATTAATTATGCGGTATAGTAGATACAGTATTTTCATTCTTAAAACATAAATTTATGCACACTTTTTTTTCGCAAAAGCAATTTACTATTATTTCTTTATACATGTGGCTTTTATATCCTTACGTCAATTTATAATATAGTATTAATTACTTGAAAATTAAAATCAACATATGGTTGTTATATACACAGTAGACAGAAAAAACCGATCATTTTTTTTATTAAAAACTTTTACATTAAAATTATCTAAAAATTTAAAAATAAATTTATCACTATTATAGAATAAAAAAAAATCGCTTTTTTTTTAATATTCATATAAACATTTGATTCTTTATAAAATTGTATATTAAAAAACGAGGCAACTTTTTTTTTCATTTTTTAATCTCATAAAATATACGTATTTGAAATAAGAAATTTATTATCGCGGATTTGCTTAAAAATTTCAAATAATCTTTTGATTATATACATTATCGAATAAGAAGAATTGAAAAAAATCAAATCTTTATTTTTTAATTAATTAAGATAAAAACACATGTATTGTATATATACTGCACTTGGAAATATAAAATTTATAACTATTGTAAATAGTTGACTATTTTACCAATTAAAAAAATAAGTCAGGTTTTTAACATATGAAAAATATCAAGATAAATGTTATAGGCAATTGATAAAAAAAAAACTCAATTAAAATTTTTATTAAAATTAAATAAAATCTCAATAAAAATATATAATAAATATAATTTATATAATATTTTAAAATCGTTTATTGAAATATGTTTATATATAAAGTATAAATAATAACAAAAGAATGATAAATATAAAATTTAACAACAATAAATAATAATATTAATAAATGTATAATATATTAGATATATTAAATCTTGTTTTACAAATATGGTAAATTAATAATTATTATATAATTATTATAAAACTTTATATTATACTTAAAGATTTAGATATGTATTTTAAAAAATATTTAATTTGTTTTAACAAATTAACAAATTCAAATTATATTTTTAAATAATTATTAATATAACTTTAATTTTTAAAAAAACTTTTTTCTATAAATTTTTTTTCTGTCAAAAATTTTTTTTATAGTAATAAGCAAAATTCAAATATTAATAAACATTCTTGTAAAGTGAGCCCCAGCTCAGGAACTCAAGAACCTTCAAGACAACTGGTGCAGTGGGATGGGACCTCTGGTCGAAGTCTA